GGGGTACGACTTCGAGGGGATTAAGACCACCCCCATATATACTCGATCCCGAGGGATCTAAGACCCAGGAGCAAGTTTGACACGTTTACTTTTATAAATTCGGCGTGAAGCCTTGCTACTTCAAAAGGTCCTTATTGATGTAACGTCGAGGCCATTTCCTTGAAACACGATTGACGCAGGAAAGAAAAGACACTTATAGAAAACTGAAGTTCATTATTGAAAAGGGGCTTTGCGTCCCCAGGCATAAAAATAGTAGAAAAATTCTATACAAAGGAGAGCTACAAAGAGCTACAAAACAAATACGGACATAGAAGTGAGGCCACCAGCTACTAAGGCCCTCGACTCATTCCTCCCTGGCTCCTCCCCCGTCGAGGCCTCCACGTCATCTTTGTAGCTTGCCTCCGACCCCCAATATTTCATCCAGCTTGGTGTCATGCACCCCAGTAATGATTGGGGGCAGAGGGGGTAAATCATCTGTTGGTTTGACATGTGACAAAGACAGAAGGGCAGGAGAAGGCTGGTCAGAACTGTCGCTGAGTGTGATGGGATCGTTTCCACCTTCAGCCCCAACCGGCCCTTCTGCCTCCACGTGGTCACCTAGGCCAGATCGGACCGGTTCATCCAGGGCTTCGCCATCAGCCTCCCCTCGAAGGCTGTGCATGGTGAACAAGTCCGAGCCTACCTCGATGTGGCAGACATGAAGGGCGATGTCCCAACCTTCTTTGAAAGCCTTCTTCTTGGCTTCCTCGAAAGTAGGGACCATTTGGTCTTGAGTGGCCGCTCATACTCTCTGACGCTTCGATTGCAACCTTTCCTATTCCCCCCACTTTTTCTGCTGCCAAGGAGTCCACTTTGGCAGTAAGAGCATTGATTATAGACTCAAACTCTTGCAGCTTGGCTTCGGAGGAGGACATTCGCAGCTCGTACTCCTTGGCCTTCTTTATCATCGTAGTTTCACCCACTTTGGCCTTTTTCAGCTCAACATGAATGACATCTCGATGGCAGATGAGCTCGACGATGTACTTGGTTTAGTCACTGAGGGTTCTCTCGACCTTGAGGATGTGGTCATCCTTAGCAGCTACAGCTCGTTCGATGTTCTTCGCCTCTTGCTTGTATTCCCAAAAATGTTCAATTATGGCTCTCATCTGCTGACTGGCCTGAAAAAGGAGGAATATTAGGGGATGACCAAAAGGAGGCGGGGAATGCTCAAAAAAGTGTTAAACTTACCACTAGGTTGCTTTGGATAGTGCTCATTAGAAGTCGATTGTTCGAGTAACCTTTGTACACAGCTATATCAGCGTCAAATTGAAGCATCCCCGTGACGGCAAACGCCACTTCAGGGGAATGGAGGATAGAGTCAGCTTCCAGAACAGGGCGGCCACTCCTAGTCTCACCCCAACCAACCCACTTGCCTGAGACAGATAGGCCCGGAGCCGGGGAGTCATGTCGCTGCTTCACACGGCCCTCCTCAGATTGTTCGGCATCCCGGGCACGCCTTTCCTTCAGCCGGTCTCCCTGGAGCGGGGGACTTGTTGAGATTAGGGCCTTTGCCTGGTCGGCACGGTTGGGTCCCTTGCTTGTTGCATACGCAGCGGCGACAGGGGCGGTTACCTCCGGGGAGAACTAGGCGGGGGGATGATGGGGGCAGTGTTGAAAGGCCCAGCTAACCCGGCAAGCCTGACTCTCCTTGTCACGACGGTGACCTCCATTGTAGTAGTGGTGATTGGTGGTGGATTAAACATCTCGGGCGCAAGGGGTTCGGAAGCGTGATCAAACCCTTCTTCGGAATCTCCCTTGGATTCTTCCTCTTCCGACGAGGAATGGTCTTCCCAAATATAAAGGTTGAAAGGAGGTGGGATCTGGGATAATTGGCTGTAAGTCAGCTTGTAGCCGAGGAGAGTATGCGCTGCTCACTCAACTTGGTCCAAGGACCAAACCCTTAGCACGTCAGCAAACCGGACTTAGGACCTCAATGGTTGAGCAGCATTCAGGTGATATCCTTCTACAAAAATAAAGCAAAATCAGTACGTTCCTCGGACCCAAGAATAGATAAATCAAGTCGAAAAGAAAACACACCTTCATCCTTCGGCACTTTGAGGTAGTACAATCCGTCATACTCGAGCCCGATCCCTTTCTCCCAACTGTCGCCAAGCATGATCAGATCGTCTACATACCATTTGTCCGAGTCGAGCATGTAGGTTACCAGATATATTGAGGCATCTCGAGCCTGGAGGTAATATCGCCCCCCAACGATTAGCCTCAGGTCGTAGCAGAATAAAATTTTATCTACCCCTAAGTTGGTCCCCAGTCGAGCGTTTAAGGCGACTACGCCCATCACAATCCTAAAAAAGTTAACCCCACATTGAAGAGGAAAGAACTTCAGTTAAATCAACACTCCCAGCAACAACAGATGGAGGGGAAAGGTCAACCCTCCTTCCATGATGGCCTTCGTCCAGAAAGGCATCATGTCCACATTCCCTATATCCCTCCTATGGTGAGCGGGGTCGAAGGAAAAAATGAAGATCGGCTCACGGATGTGGTACCTAACCCTGAAGGCTTGGATATTCTCATCAGTCACACTGGGTTCTCCTCATCTTGTGGGTAGACTTAGCCCTAACAGACGTCTCTCCCTTAGTTCTACTAATTCTAGTCATTGGTTGGTGCTAAGAGGATGAAATGTAGAGGAAATGAAGAGAGAAAAAGCTCAAGTGGAAGTACTTACAGGAAGGTGGTCTTCGAAGAGAGAGTTCGGAGGATGAAGGAAACTTTGAGGAGAACAGAGGAACACTCGGGGTATGATTGCTGAAGAGAGGTTGAGGATGCAAAAGTTCTGAGAAGGTATGAAAATCTCCTATTTATACTGCCTCACAAGGAGCGGAAATCGAAAAATTGGGTCATCATTAGGGCATTTGAAAAGGGCGGCACCAGACGTGCAAGTAACCGTCGCTATTAATAAGGCGTGATGATGGAGCCCCCAATTTTTTTACGCCACTTGTCTTACACTGCGAAAAGGATGGCGGCTGGGGGGACAGTTGGTGGGACTCTAGGTGGCTCTACAGCTCCCGGGTTGACACATGGAATAATGAAGTCGTAGGGATGTCCAGGTGGCGTCGAGGAGGTAAGCCGAGGTATGGTGACACGGAGCAGCCGAGTACAACGACTGACATTGTATTTAATGAGATGTGACCCTTCATTTATTGGCGGAATGAGTGACAGTGACAAGACAAATAAATGCGTGTCTGCCATCACCTGCCCTCTAGGAGTCTAAGCCTACTATCATGATGGTTAACCATTAATGGCTAAGGCGCCGAGACGACATGATCGGCTCACCTGAGGAACTGTTTTCCCCGAGTATTTAATGCTCAATTGATGTCGGATGCCGATCTGGGAGATTTGGGTATTCGGGGAGTGGCATAACTGCTCGGCGTTTGGCCGAGCTGTTACCCCATTTTCTTAGCATTCAATAGAAGGGGACGTAAGGAGAAAACACTCATTGTACGAGGAATAGTGTGTCAGATGTGAGATGTCCAGATGAGACTGAAGATCTTTGACAATCATTGCTAATTCAAGTATAAATACTCCTCAGAAAAATGGATAAATGTACGCAAACTCGAATTAGAAAATAGTCCATTAAGCAAAACTATTCGACCTTATCCTGCATTAAGACCTTCGGATCAAAACGATCTAAATCACGAAAAACTTTTGACAAATTTTTTTAACCATTTTATTATATAGATTATCCACGAAAATTTCAAACAAGGTCTAAAATTTCAACGAAAATAATATTTAGTCAATATTACCATATGACCATCAAAATAACAACACATAATTTAATCTCTTAGTTGTTATTTATCATTAGAAATTATTTCTCGGTTCCATATAATCCTCTTCATATTCTTTACACAATCTTATTCAAGGAAAAAATCATTTACTCTGTTTATAAATAAGGATAACTATTTAAATTAATGTCAATTATACGAATGAAATTTTAAAAGTATATAACTGATCAAATCTTTCTCATTAATTATTTCTGAAGACAGACTTCAAATGATACCAAACATTCCTAGAGAATATTCAGTACAACGGTAATACCATATTATTCTCTCCGTCTCTAAATATTTGTCGTTTTACATAATTTTTTTGTTCCATAATATCTGTCGTTTAATGAAATCAAAACATAATTAATATTTTTTCTTTCAAATTTACCCATAACTTTTCAATGTATTAGATTAGGTGAAGGCTAAGTGCCTTTCATATTTCTTTCTTTCCCAATACGTATTGAATAATGATATTTTAGTTTTGTGCAATTATTTTTTACTCATATTATAGCTATTTAATAAGTTCTTTAATCCCTGTGCAAAAACCTTAAATGACAGATATATAGGAACATATAGAATAACATTGATGATATGATATCACTAATTAATAATAAAATTTTAAATGGTCAAAATAAACCGCACTTGGTAGTTATTGACTTGAGTAATATTATTTGAATTTAAAAATTTGACATAATTTACAAAGCTAATAATGTGACTCCACTAAAATTATTAGATCAACAACAAATTTAATGTTTAATGAAACCCATAATTAATACAAATATTATAGTGAATTAAGTCAATAAATTAGATCCTAATAGCATTACTGTATTGGTTTATATGAAAAAAAAGTGAGTAATTATCTACTTATATGGACGAATACTTATTGAATTATGTAAAATTTATTTTCTTATTTATCTATATATTATTAACCGGTAATACCACGTAACAATAAATATTGTTTTCCCAAAAGATTTTGTCTTTCATAGGAATGGTATCCATACTAATTAGCGTGATCCACGGCATTGGCACCATCAAAATATTCGTTGGTTTAACGGATGCATTACATCGAGGACAAAACTGTCAAATTACTTGCCTTCTACAGTGGTTGCTCTAACCGACGACAGAGACTGGGAGGGGAGAGACCCGTCTCATCTTCCACATTTGTACCTACCATTTTCTCAGAAATCTCGTGTCTGGTGGCCATTTTTCGATCAATTGTGACTCATTTTACCCTGCTTATGCCTCTCTAAGATTCTGTAATATTATCAAAATTTTCTTTCTCTTCAATTTTAAGTATAGGAATAAAGTGCGTGTCTTGCAGACTGAAACTATTTCGGTGATTTGGCCAAAATTGTATGATAACCCAGGTAAGAGTAATCTAAACGTTGTTACTCGAAAGTAGTAAATTTTATTTGCAGAGAGAGATATGTTGCTGGAGTGATCTGTTGACCGCAGTGTTTATCTTCAAAATGTTATGTTTTGATTTCTACAAGTGTTAGATTGTCAAATGACTGCCTCATTGTTCAAAGTTAGATCATCTATCGTGACGTCATAAGATCTGTGGGTTCGGAATATGATTTGTGTTGAATGTTTCCATTTACGTGTGTGGATTCAGTTATTTGTTGATATTGGGCTGTGGGTTTTTCATCATTGGTCAAAAATTTAGGATGTTGTTTGTGTTTGGCCCTGAATTCCGAGCTTTGTTTGGGGTTTAAAATTTTTACTGATTTTTTTTGTTTATTTATATTTAGGGTGAGGTTTTTCTGGTTAAATTCAAGGAATGATGGATAGTTATACTGAATCAGAAGAAGATCAGTTCTTTGATAGCCGCGATGAGATCACTTCGGTGTCTGATTGGGATTCACATAACTCTGAGGAACCTACTTCTGGGCTCGTCAATTGTGTTCCCAACGGTTTTGGATATGGGTTTTGGACTCAGAACCCAGAAAGCGTTGGTGAACGACGAAGTAGGTTGTTGAAGTGGATGGGATTAAGTGAAGATTGTAATCCAACTGAGAGAGATGAGTCGGGGGATACACCATGTGATGAATTTAGAATGGACATAGACAGAATTAGAGAGAATAGTGGGGCTGTCCTTGCAAATTCTGGTTTTGATGATCGTTGTATGCCGAGTGGGTCTTTTGTGTCTTGCTTGTCAAATGAAGCTTTGGGATTGGTAGAAGATAACGCTTTGGAAGACAATTCTGTCTGTAAAATCAGGAATTTGGATGATGGGACAGAGTTCGTTGTAGATGAACTGGGTCAGGATGGGATGCTTATCAGATTACGTGAAGTGGGTTCAAATAGAATGGTTTCTTTTGAAGAGTTTGAGAGTACTGTTGGCTCGTCTTCTTTGGTTCGGCAGTTCTTGCGAAGAGAAGCTGAGGTGGATAACATGGTGCATACAAAGAAGAAAGTGAAGAGGGGTTGGCTTCAAAAGCTGAGTATCATGGCCCACACTGAGGATAGGGACGAAGGAGCTGGCTTGAAGCCCTGTGGTATCAGCTTAAAGGTGGAAGCTAGTGTTCGAAGAGTTCAGGTTCACTCATATAAGAAGCGGTCAAAGGAATTGTCCTCTCTTCACATAGGACAAGAAATTCCTGCACATACAGGCTCAATTTTAACAATGAAGTTTAGTCCTGATGGCCAGTACCTGGCAACTGCTGGCGAAGATGGCATTGTACGTGTGTGGAAGGTAACTGAAGATGAAAGACCAACCAGATTAGACATTCAAGATGCTGATCCTTCATGTTTATACTTCTCATTGAGTCAGTTTTCTAAATTAGCTCCTCTGAATGAACATACAGTTAAGATTGGTAAGATGAAAAGGTTGAGAAAATCAGCAGAATTGCCTTGTGTCATTTTGCCACCGAAGGTTTTTGGGATATTTGAGAAACCTTTGCAAGAGTACCATGGGCACTGCTGTGAGGTCTTGGCTCTTTCATGGTCTAAGAAAGGGGTGAGTTTATCAAATATGATCCTTTTTTGGTAGTAAAATTGCTGTTGTTTTCTTGGATTGGAAGAAGTGCATACACTATTTTCATGCTAGTGAAAGTGAAATGTATTTCCTGGACATTTCCAGATGTAATGTTTTTTCCATTAACTTAATGCTCTGCAGTATTTGCTGTCGTCCTCTGCTGATAAAACTGTTCGCCTATGGCAATTAGGACATGACCAATGCCTCAGAGTCTTTTCACATAATAACTATGGTACGCTTGTTACTACATGTCTGCTTTTCTTTCTAACATGCATACACTTGCATTTTCTGTACTGTTGGTTGTTTTATCAGTACAATCTTATTCCCGCTCAATATTTCAATTGGATCATGCACATATATGTTACATATGATACTATTGATGCAGTGACTTCTGTGGAGTTTAATCCCGTGGATGATAACTATTTCATTAGTGGCTCAATAGATGGGAAAGTACGCATTTGGGAAGTGCATGGTTGTCAAGTTGTTGATTGGACTGATATAAGAGAAATAGTGACTGCTGTATGTTATTGCCCCAACGGGAAGGTTTGGCCGATACCTGCCTTTTAGTTTTTTTTTTTTTGCAGTCACAATTCTTTTTTGTCAAAGTAGACTTCGGTTCAGGAACTTTTTCACTTGATTGGTGCAGGGAGGCATTGTGGGCTCCATGGATGGTAACTGTATTTTCTATGATATCATAGGTATGCATATGGGGCTTGAGGTTCAATTTTTAATTTTCATATCATTGGGTGTTGAACTTGTAACATTGGATTTGCAAGTCATTCAGAAGTTTTAATTTTATTGCTCTTTGTCTAAAGTAACTTGTTATCATAGGAGATTTGATGCAACGGTAACGGGGACCAAAAAAATTACCGTCAAACACAATCCTAAATCCTCAGAAAAAATAATATAAACTCTCTGAAATATTATTGATAGGATAAATTAATTAAATAAAACTCATAATATATATATCAATTTATAGTAATCTCCCGTAAAGTTTTTCAAAATGGATCTAAATCCCTAATTTTGGAGAAGTTAATAAAAACAAATAAACACATGTCTAATAGAATTATGAAAATTCACATGTTTAGGTAACTAGTTGCTCTTGAATATTCCTAATTAAATTCTAACTCAAACTAATAAATTAAATACTGGTGTTGCCAATTTTGTTCTACATCAAACACTCCGTCTTGAAAAAAACTCGAGAAAACTCGTCCTCGAGTTCTCATGATTGCAAACAACTTCGTATGTCTGCTTTCATATGCAGCAGCATTGTACTTCAAATTAATCTTCCCAAGTATACCTAAACGTAAACCTACTATACCCTCTAGAATTGATAGAATAATCTCTCATTCAACATCCTTCGGTAACTGTAGCATGACCTTAAATTCTTTTTGGCAAACGTTTGACAAAATCAACTCAATATTCACATCACGTTGACTTGTTGCCAACTCAAGAATGTCAAAATTATCAACAACCAACTTTTTCAAATAACAAGAAATAACTCTGTCGACAAATTCATAATGCCTGCTTACTGCCTCCCTCAAATTGTAGTGATGCTAAAAAAAAGTGCCACAACAATGCACAAATATCAAGGTTAAATATCTTCTGAAAATCATCAATATCAAAAGTATCTAGCAACCCCGAAATACCACCAGCTCTACATAATTAAGATCAGTGTTATCAGAACGGGACTGGACCGGCTTGTTGAACCGGTGAACTGGGATCTTCAATGGTCTGGTTTACTAAAAAGATTGTTTGGGTAATTGAACCGTTGGAGAACCGGAAAATCGGCCGATTTAGGCCAAAAATCGGTGAACTGAAAATCAAAAAAACCGGCCTTCGTCTTCTCAAAATCAACTATCGTCTTCTTCAAATCAACCTTTGTCTTCTCTAAATCAAGCACTCGAACATCGGCACACGACACGACACCACAGATCTAGATCTCGAACACCAAATCTTAAATACCAAACTTCCTCCACTTTGTCTTCTTCGTCTTCTTCAAATCGAGCTCTCAAATAGCGTCTTCTCCAGATCGAACATCAGACTTTTTCTTCTCCTCTCTCTCTCTCTCTCTCTCTCTCTCTCTCTCTCTCGCCATGCAAGAACACACTCACGGTAATGGAGTAAGAGATGCTGGGCTAGGTATTGTATTTTTTTCTCTCTCTCTCTCTTTGTCTACACGCGCACACACACAGAGTAACTCTTCTTATTATTCTTCTCTCTCTCTTCTCCTCTATCTCAATCTTTGTCTCAGTCTCTGCCTCACTCTCTCTTGACTGAACGCACACACTTATAAAGAAGGAATACTATTTGCGTTGAGAAAGATGGATCCTTGAAAAGGCCATTGCCTTGAGCTGGCAAAAAGGCTACAAGTTGTTGGTTTTTTTTTTCTTTATAAAATTATGTATTTGTGGTGTTAAATTGTATATATTGTGGATATTTTCATATTTTTTTAATTTTATATTATATAATCGGTTCAACTAGTTGACCCAACGGTTGAACCAATGAACCATTGACCCGGTCCCCTGGCTGGTTCAATGACCTGTCTGGTTTTGATAACATTGATTAAGATCCTTGTCATTCTTCTTGTTTATCTATAAGCATCTCCTCGACAACTTCAGCAGTGTTTTTCTGATTAATTTCAACAAACTCACATGTATCGGGTTCAACTACAATAACATTAGTTGTGGTAGCATCCCCGTGACACTGTTATTTATCTTATCTTCACCCTTCGCATCTAGGTAACCTTTATCAAGTTCTCCAACGTCACCATAAGCCCATTCAGTCTCATCATCTATCCCACAAAATTCACCTTTTTCTCATCATTTGGAACCCCCATGTAATTGAAAAAACTCTCAATCTTAGTCAACCAATCAAGAATATCTTCTAGTGTTCAAAAACTGTTCTAGTCAAAGTTGAGTGAGCAGAAGATGGTGCCTACTAGTTTTTAAGCTATAAATCAAGTATAAACTTGACCTATTGAGCACTAATGAGTGTTGCTCAAGTAGGATCCAACACATAACCCAATCTACGTTTTCACAACACATTTTGATATTTGAAAATTCTTTTTGCATAAAAAGTCTAACAGTCATTCACAGATAATCCTAAATCCAACTCCATTAATTCAATGAGCCAAAGTCTAAAATAAATCAAGATTTTAGGTATCTAGGTCATTACCTTGTCCTAAGCTTTTGAAGGTCCAATAGAAGTGTTTTTTATACAACTTTGAAGCTTGAACTCCTTCCTTCTTTGAAGTTTTCAAAACTTGATCTTTGAAGCATCATGACTTATGTTGAGATTTACAACAAGACTGTATGAAATTAACCAATTACAATGAACAATTTCCTAACAGTAACTAAAAACAAACACATGTCTAATGGAATTAGGAACATTGATATATTTATGCAACTAATTACTCTAGAATATTCATAATTAAATTCTAACTCAAACTAACAAAATAAATATAGAAATTGCCAATTCCGTTCTATATCAAGATTTCTTTAGTGTTTTTTTGTTGTGTTTGTGTGTGTGTGCTTGTGTACTAATTACATGTGGGTTGTTTTGTCCTTTACTTTTTTATTGTCAATTTTGGTTTCATGTTTGTGTGAAGTGACTAATCATAACTAAATCATGCTGTTGATTTTCCATTGTATTTACTGTTTCTTAGAAAGACAACTTGGAGGCAAAGTTGTTCCTTTTCTTTTTTCATGACTTGTATGTGCAATCAGTAGTGGATCTTCAGGATTAGATTATAGGATCACATTGAGTATCATAAGACCTTTACAAAATGAGACTTATATTACTAAAAACTTGTCCTTCTTGAAGGATTCTCAAAAATACATAGAGAACAAGCCTAAAATTAAACCAACAATACAGACAAATTAAGATAAATCTTTGGGGAATCAATACTTCAACAATTCTGCCCCAATAATTTTGGAACATACTGGCTTTCACTAGTAATAGATTTCATGCACAGACATAACAAGTTGTATCACTTGAAGTAAACTGTAAACTAAAAGGGTTTATGTGTGATAAGGCATGATTTGCTACAATTCAGGTTGATTGGATCAGTACTAGAACCTATGTTGAGAGGAAAACATTAGGAATGGTAAAATCTGTTTGGATAAAGAATTAATTGAATTCAAACTGAATTATAGAGAAAAAAAAAGGGGGGGGGGGGGGGGTGGG